GCTTTGGCACTCGGTGCGGTTGTTGAGCGGCACGTGGCCGTTGAGGAAGGTGGCAAAGTTGACGGCAATGTCGCCCATGGGCACGCCACTGCGATCGCTCGTGCAGTTGGTGTAGACTTGTACGTACGTGTCCGCGCCATCGGCAAAGCCAAGGACGAACCCAGCGTCCCAGATAAGTGCGCGCTGCAGAAGCGACGGCAACGACGCCCAGCGCAGGCTGAGCGCCGAGAGCCGCTGGACCACGGTGGGTGGCGGCGGCAGCGTGAGCGGGGCCGGGTCGACGACGCCGGCGTTGTAGAGCACTTGGTACCGGCCAACGTAGTTGGCGCTCTCTCTCCACTGCATCCTACTGCGTGGCGAGCCTGGTGTGTGCGGGTATGGCTAATCGCCGCGGCGGCTGGCCTCACGCGCCCGAGATATATCCGGTTGACATTGCACAACGGTGCTGGTCGTGCGCGTTTTGATTGGCTTTTCGTTTGCATTGCCAATCAAACGAACCGACCTGGTGCGACGATCGCATCTGATCGTGCTGGCGTCAAAGCTTCCTTGATCACGGAGTGTTCGATGCAGGGGGCGCAAGGGAACGCTATAATACCGGTCCTGGCTACGACTATCACGGTAAGAGCAAACGGTCCTTTTGCGTATACTCGTAGTATCTCTTAAAGTTAACGTACTCCTTGAATGTTGCCGTTTGAGCTAATATGATGAGCCAACACGGTCGTAGTTGGAGTAGCGCATAGTACGTAAATCATTGGAGCCATCATTGGAGACTGCGGGCGAGTGCACTTCAAAGGTAGGTTCTCGACAACGGTCTGTTTTCTTCCGCAAAGAGTCTCCAAGGGCACTCGCAGCATGTCCTCGCACGTCTCGTCGCCAATCGAACGTGTTGCATATATGAGGGCAGCCACAGTACACGATGACGGCGCCATGAGAGAGGCAGTCGCACATGACGGCTTCGGCGCATCCACATGGCGTTGACTTCCTCCTCCTTCATTGCACAGGACACATTGCCCTTTTCGATGACGCAGCACACAGTGTACAGTGCCGCACTGGCTGCAGCAGCACGAACGCTGTTCGTCTCCAAACGACCAGCAGCATTACGACGCTGGATTGCTCGCGCACGGCAAACTTCATTTTAAATTCATTTACTTTGATAGCAGTCCGCTGCCAGCACATGTATGGTGAAGACCTAAGAGCTTAGAGATGGTCGCAGCGTCCGTCGGAGGTGGAGATTCACTCTACGTTTGTTGGCTTGTTGCCAATACGACAGTGGTAGCTGGATCGAGCTTTCGAAGCCGCACGTCCACATTTATCGCCGACTGCGACGAACGCTGCTGCGACGAGCTTGCGCAGTGAGGCTCCGACGAGAAGGCCGACACTCAAGTTTGAGCGGAAGTCGACCGTATCGTCGCTGCCAGCACCCGGGTCGACGCTAGGCTCGTCAAAATCAACCGCAAAGCAAGCGTCAGGAGTCGCATCCGAGCGGAACCATCGATCACTCCAAATTAAAAACGCAGCACTGTAAGATGCATGTAGTATTGCGAGGTGCTGCAAGCATGCTTTGCCACAAGTATTGGAAGAGCATGCGTCGGCCTGTGGTCCACAAGCCAGCTTGTACGACTCGTTTGAAGGGCGCACAGCCATGCGAGACGTACTGATCATTACACGGTGGTGACGCAATACTTCCATGCGACGCATGCATCCGACGTATCATTGCAGTCCTTGGAGCTTCCTGCGCGAGTGTCCTTGCGCACTACTATCGTACTTTCGAACGCCATGACCTTGTCGAGTCCGTCCCGCCCGATGGCGTCTCGTCCTCCATTGGCACGGCTGGCATGAAATACAACGCAGGTCCAGTTGGTTGTTTTTAATGCGCCGGCTTGTGCGCGACGAGCCACGCGTCCTTGTTGGGCGTCGGGAAATGCCACGAGTGCGCAAGCGCCTGCGACCGCTTCGAGTAGACGCTGGGTTCGTCAAAGGAGAATTTCCCGCTGACTTTGTCGTAATGCACCAAGTGGCGCTCCTTCCAGCGCTGGAAATCCACGTTGGCAATCATCGAAAAGTGGTGGTCGCGCATCTCGTCGTTCGAGACCACGAGCGTGCGGCCGCCGAGCTTGACGGCCGCGTAGAGCCAGTACCAGTCGTCGTTGTTGCCCGGGCGGCAGTTGAACATGACGCCATCGTCCTTCCAGCTCTGGACCATCGGTCGCAGCTCTTCGGGCACCTCGCGGTCTTTCGTGCGGCGCTTGTGAAGCACAATGAGCACCTTCTTGCCGCGCGCTTGGTACGCCTGCAGCACGCGTCTGGATCTGCGTGTACTTGAA